AAAAAACCAAGACATCAATCAAGCATGAAACTTGAAACGTGAAGATCGTAGCGAGTCTATATTTTCTGATAACTCATATAAAGCAAAAACTTACTGTTAACGATGAAGAAATGCTTGTCTTCTACAGTTCCATCCGGATTTCTCGCCTGACAAAGCAGCGTTCTCTTCGTCGCAGTTGTAGAGTAAACCTGAACATGCTCTTATTACGCCGGTAATAAGATTAAAACTCCAGGATGGGATGTAAGTTCTAGGTTGCAAATTTTCCTCTTACTGAAGCATCTACTTTTTTTTCACTTCAACTTCAATTCTAACCTGTATAGAGATGTAACGATGCTCCTTTGATGGATCAGGATTGATGGGAATGGGGACTGGCTCCTAAATTACAGCAAGGGGATCTTAGGCTATGATTTCCAAAATTCTGTATTTACTAACATCACCACTTTCTGTAGAGTTCATAGGCAGCCAACTGTATGAGACACTTGGCATAGGGCGACCCTCAGCAATACACCTGCAGAGGAATTCGTTTACTCATTTTGATTTACCACCACCACAAGAAAATAAACCTACTTGAAATGAATTGGTTGGGCGGGATCGACTTCCGTCTCAGTAGCTCCCTCACTTATGTGTGGATCGCTAATCTCTAATCTCACAGTAAGAGGAATTTCTGTAAAAGAAAGAAAAATTTCTAAAAATTTTGCTTTAAGTAATTTTTTTTCCTTTCGTTCTAAGTTACTCATTCTACCTCAATTACACTACATTCTACCTCAATTTCTATTGAACACAAAAAAGAAATTCTCTAGTTTAGCACTACCCCATAAAATCAACTTGAATGTCCGACAAAATTATTTGTTATGCTCCATTCTATTTTTAACTCCGAATGCGAGTTGTACAGCGAACAGTGAAATATTTCCTTGATGACTTGCTGGCAGTTTTCCAAAACTTGGAAGATGTCTACAGCATATAAACTCACGTCTTCTTCCCGTAGTCACCTCGTAGGCCTCAGAGATGATGCCAGGGCCATCATTTGTGGCAGCTTGTACTTTCACCACGTAAGGTGTATCCTCGTCATCCACGTATACGGTAAGATTCCTAAAGCGAATGATTTGGTGGAAGCAAAGAAGTATTATAGGTTTACTTTCCTTATTTATCACAGGAGATCAATTTTCAGGTTAACAAGTCTCAAAACCTCACCTCACATCTCCATCAACTACTTGAGACTTCCATTCAGCCAGTGGCCGGTCAGGATCCTTAGTGTAGTAGACGATGTAATTCTAAATAA